GATAATTAATACTAATTAATAGAGGGTTTCAGTTCTTCACGATATGTTTATTTAACATACAAACAACATACGTAATATACTTTGTAGTTATGCCTTTTAAACGAGTGGCATGCCAAAATTAAGAAAACAACTTTTGAATAAAAGTTTATAAAAGTAAAGTCAGTTTAATTTTAAATTCAGTTTATTCTTACATTGCTTAGAACATCATAGAGAAAAGTAAATGTAAGGAAAACAAAAACGAAATAGCGCAATAATGTTGAATTTGTATTAATATGCAGATGAAACTTTGAATTATGTGATTTTCTATAAATTTTCCAAAAGTTCATTAGGAATGTAAGTTAAATAAGTTTGATATAACTGCATTTAGGATACCATATATACAACACATGGACTTTTTGTCAATAAATGATTTGAAAACGGAACATTCACGCTTACTTTGTTCAATGATGTATAATTACAGGTTTATTTAGACACTGTAGTATCATTGCAATACATCAAACTAGGGAAACATAAAGGATTACGCCATTACCTCTGAAATTCCGCCAAAATGAGTATCGAAATTACACCCTCGTAATGAAAAGGGTAGGCAGGTCTGTATTATATCAGAAATGTAAAAAGTTTCACTATGAACCCTGAAGAATGCTGAATCACACCGGAAACAGTTACGTCACAAGCCGGAAACAGTTATATCACCCGACGGAAACAGTTAGAACACCCTCTCGATCACTTTCACGTGTCTTTATGTTACGCATTTGTAGCTCGGGTTAGAGATTTAATGACGTCGGTTGCTAAGCAGACGCAAACAACGGAGTGCAAATCTTAATGTCATGAAGCATTTTTGGATTATTTGTATAAACTTAAACAATTCTAGACATTTTTTTAAATTCTAAAAATGTTATATAACATATACAACAAGGTTTCTCGGATGACTATACCATTGTTTGCCCCTCGGTGACAAGAAAGTCCTGGAGTGTAATGTCACCCTCTGCCTTCGGCATCGGGTGAAATAACACTCCAGGACTTTCCTGTCACGTTGGGGCAAATATTCTGTATGTCACCCTCGAAGCCATGTGAGATATGTATAATAGCATGGTAGCATAGTGTATTTCTAGCTTGTAGTCTCTGCATTTTTTCAAATATAGACATTTTTTTCATTTTATTTAAGAAGACTACATTTTATTTTTCACAGTGCATATTGAAAACCACGAAGGATTTTTCATATTTTCTTGTTTTCAAGTTAACACATGAAATCAGTTTTATGAGTTTGCACATGAATGTGGAATGAATAATGTTTGTTTTCACACTTTATATTTTTTTAATTGTATCCATGTTTTAACTATTTTTGAAAACTAGACTGATGTACCGAGTAGATATGTCAATTAATTGTTAAACAACGGGTCATGATTCATGTTTCTTCTGTTTAAGAAATACATGTTAATTCCTAGTTTTATAACTGATAACAGTTTCTAATTCTGACTACATAATGCAATGTTTTCACCTTCATTATTTCATAATTACATCTTGATGTATCACCTATACAGTTGTAAAATGAAAAGGGAATTACATTGTTTTATATTTAATTTTACTTGTTTTTATATTTAATTTTACTTGTAGACATCTTTAATGCTGGTCGTTATAATGATTTGTTTATGTGAATTAATTTCAATGTTACTGAATTATGGTACCCTTCGGTTTCATAATGTAAAAGACGATGTTGTTCTTGTTTGATTTTAAACATTTGTTTCTTTTACCATTGTAACAATTTACTTAGTACAGAAAAATGTAGCGGAAACATTTTTAATTGAGCCTAGGGTAATGTCAAGGAGTGAATTTATGTATTTTACTTTTACTTTGATGTTTCAGCATCTGTGTTATATTTATCAATTTGACATCTCTCCTCCTCCTGTCCCACGGTATCAATGACAGTATTGGAAGTTTTACATTCAGCGTAGAGATAAAAGGTTAAACATTTCCTGTCTTGAGAATTCTACCTAAATTAATGTCAACCATCTTTCTTTTGATGTTACAATTTCAGTTTTATTCCATTTCAGTGGCTATTTTTAGAAATTTTGGAGGAGTCTAGGGGAAAGAGATGAGATTTGTGTGTATGTTAGTTTTGAGTCTTAAAGTAGAGTTTTAGCGAGTTAAATGTTACTTTTTGGAATTCATGAATAAAGTACAGTAAAAATGTAGTGACGAGTGTTTTCTTGGAAGGCATATTCACATCGTCACAAGAGCTATTCCACTAATAGCCAGTGGATAAGTGTATATTGTCTAGATTTGACATATTCGGTTGTAAAAATAAATAAATAAATATAGAAACCTTGGGGAAACAAGATCTTAAAAGCATCTTAAAAAAAATCTTAAGTACTGCTTGGTTTTTAGATCTCCTGAGGTTTTATGATCTGAAGATCTGTATCCAGCTGCTTGTATCACATTAATCATAATAACAGTACATTAAGCATCATAATGCTGTATGAAATCAATTAAGTTATGTTAAGTCATGATCCCTGGGGCTACATTATGATCACACTAAGTGGACAATTTTAATTTACAGATTATAAAGGATTATTTTATATTTTCTGATTCACGTAATCGTTGTGATCTGATGAGGTTTTGAAAACCAGTCCATTTTATGTGTTTGTTTTCTTATCCTACTATAATTTACTTTTACTGTAACTAAAGCCGTAACGTTTTCTTTTTATTGTTGTTGTTCGCATTTCTTTAACTTGGTGTTTAATATTCTGGTAAATTTTTAAAACCAAGCTTTTTGGTTATTTCAATGTTTCACACCCTTAATAGTTATTTTATAGGAAATACAGTCATGTAGTTTCTTCCCTAACAAAAATTTTTTATAGTTAACTATAGTGAAAACTTTGATACTTTGATTTACTATGAAACTTTACTCTAGAACTTTTTTTGAGATTTCAAAGCTTAAAATCTCTAAAATTCGATCATAGTAAAGTAAAATTTGGAAATAATGTGTGAACATAGAAATAATATTTCAATTTAATACCAGAAGTCTCTGATGAGACTGTAGCTCTACTGGTCTGTACATATAACAAAGGAAAAGTAGCACTTGGATTTGAAACTTTGCAACACACAGCAATAAATAGAATAATGTATCTTAATGTAGTCTACTTATGTGCCAAGTTATATTGAAATCAGACCAAAACTGAAGGAGGAGTAGTGTTTTAAAGGAATTTCACAGAAATTTCTATTTTTAGTAACCATGGCAACACCGTTCATCGAAATCAAAAACCGATGCACTAAATTATGTATCTTAGTGTAGTCTACTTGTGTGCCAAGTTATATTGAAATCAGACCAAAACTGTAGGAGGAGTAGCATTTTAAAGGAATTTCACAGAAATTTTTATTTTTAGTAACCATGGCAACACCGTTCATCGAAATCAAAAACCGATGCACTAAATTATGTTTCTTAGTATAGTCTACTTGTGTGCCAAGTTATATTGAAATCAGACCAAAACTGAAGGAGTAGTAGCGTTTTAAAGGAATTTCACAGAAATTTCTATTTTTAGTAACCATGGCAACACCGTTCATCGAAATCAAAAACCGATGCACTAAATTATGTTTCTTAGTATAGTCTACTTGTGTGCCAAGTTGTATTGAAATCAGACCAAAACTGTAGGAGGAGTAGCGTTTTAAAGGAATTTCACAGAAATTTCTATTTTTAGTAACCATGGCAACACCGTTCATCGAAATCAGAAACCGATGCACTAAATTATGTATCTTAGTATAGTTTACTTGTGTGCCAAGTTATATTGAAATCAGACCAAAACTGTAGGGGGAGTAGCGTTTTGAAAAACTGTTTACAGACAGACGGACGGACGACGGACACCTTACTATCGCATAAGCTCTTCTGGTCTCTGACCAGTAGAGCTAATAAAAATGTGCAGGTATGAATTGAAGAACAAAAAATATAACGATCTGAAATCCAAAGTAAAAATACTTTGATTAACTATAGTGAAAAAACTTTGATACTATAGTTAACAATAGTAAACTGGAGTTAACTATAGTACTTTTTTTTGTTAGGGTTATTCACATTTAAATGTATACAAATCTGTTAACCACGTTATCAAGTTTTGAGATTTAACGTGAGCACTATTAGGCTGTATTGGAAGAGCTTTTATTATGTATTATTATTATGTATTAAGACACACGGGTGTACATGTACTCTACGTATCAAGACAGCGTTTTCGCCACCTATTTTAAATACAATAATTATTTCAATTTAAACAGTAAGTTTTTTTTTACATTCTGACTTATTTGTACCATAAAATACAGAAATGAACAGATCATAATAAACTTTTTTCCTTGAGTAGCAATTGGGTTTGAGGTAGTGACGGCAAATATTGTCTCCCATGCACATACTGTCGCCGACGATATTATGTGCAAAGTCACCCATTGGCACATATTGTTGTCGACGATATTTATCATTCCTCTGCAAAATGAGTGACAATATATACAGTATATACAGTATATTTTTGCACATCTTGTCGCTGGCGACATTTTGTTCCCAATTCCGTGGACTTAAAGTTACATAATGAGTTAAAATTATAGTTACATAATGAGTCAAAATTATATGTTTGTTTTAAGATGTCTGTATCATAAAGAGAAATATTTATGAAAATTATGAGTATAGAGAAGATATAATAACTAAACTCTGTAACACGATTTGCGTTTTGTAAATTTTATTAGTTCCATTCTTAAATATTAATTTACTTACGTTTTGTAAGATTAGTTTCTCAAATAAATCAGTTAGTTGTAGCGTTAACTTATGCGCAGTTGTGTTTCAGGAGTATGCACCAAAGCTGCACGTTGTACGGTGTTAAACCTGTTAACACTGCTGCCTGTCTATCATATACACTACCCGGAAGTGAAACATGGTGTCAGAAGTGCTTCTGTGGTAATTATTCTGCTTTTGATCCTGAAATTAACTTTCTATTTGTGACCTGTGTTTCCCGCGTGCTTTCTGCAAAATGGCGTACGCTGAAAGACTCGCGCCACCAGGGAAAATAAAATTTAACAGCCAAAATCTCGCTGAAGATTGGCGTAAGTGGAAAGAGGAGTTCAGTCGCTACGTTTCTCTGACCGTGAAAGATGAAGATGCATCTAAGCTGCAGTTATTCAAGTACCTGATAGGGAACGATGGTCGAGAAATCTACAATCTACTCTAAAATTCGAGAAAGAGAAGGATAGAACTCTAAAAATGGCGCTGGAGGCATTCGACACGTACTGCCGTCCAAAGAAAAATGAAACTGTCGAAAGATTCAACACTCGCAAACAGGAGGCAGATGAGACAATTTAAACTTGTATCACCGAATTGAAAACATTAGCATCCGCTTGCAATTTTGGTCAAGTTGCAGATACTCTCATAAGGGACAGGGGGTCATAAAATAAAAGGTACTTATGTCGAAGACCATGCTTAAGTAGGACTTAAGTACAGTCTTAAACTTAAGACCCTAACTAGAAACGTGCTATGATTTGACAATCTTAGCAAACTTAGGCAACCGGTAGAGGTGACTTAAGTATGTCTTAACTTTCTTAAACATATATTTAGAACTATTTAAGGTTGACTTTCTGTGTTGAAACATTCCTCTATCTATATTATGAATTAAAAATAATTTTCTCTATTAAATGTACTGGTATAAGAATTTTAGTTTTTCGTCGGGGGGGGGGGGGGGTCATCACTTATTCCAATATCACTCTCTAAATGACATACATGTAAATGCAAAATATTATTTTTGGGATACATTTGATATGTTGGATCTAGGTTATAACCACTAATCATTGTAAGTAAATTGTATACAGTAATTATGGATTTGTTTGTTCGCTGTGAAAAAAAATGAGATGAAATGATTTTAAAAATTGTAGATGATTTAAAGGATGATGACTAGAAAACTAATAAAGATTTTCTGTAAATAAGATTGAATGTAGAACGCAACAAGCGAGGATTCAGACAGGGTTCACTACCGTTAACGAGAGAGAGAGAGAGAGTTGTTGATACATGTAAGTTGGAGATATACGAAAAAAAAATTTTCTGAAAACAATTCCTTTCCATCCTTCATTAAATTGTAAATGAGTATATCATAAAACGTCTGCAGTCTCTACTTGCTACATTGGGAGGAGAAAAAACATTCAAAATGTACCTATCCCCCCCCCCTTTTTTATTACGAGTTTCAATTTCAAGTACATAGACGTTCCGTTATCATGCCATGTCTGCGAGAATGACAATTTGAAAGCAAGTGAACATTTGTCAAAAGAAAGAATAACAAAAAACGGTAAACTGAAAACATGGCAGTCTCGAGTGATAAACAATATTCACACATTTACAATGAACCACTAGTGCCACTTTGTTTGTTTTCAAATATTAAGAATTATTTAAACAGAATTAACTTAAATTAAATACGAAATCTAATCTAACCTAGCTAAAACCGATAGGTAAGGACGTCAACTTTAATACACATGTGATTAAAAACGTTACAAAATCATTTTTACAAGTACATATATAAATCAATTGAAAAACTAGGATGATTCATAAAAAATATTTTGAACATTAAGTTTGACTTAGCTAAGACCTAGCTAAGTCCGTTTTATGTTACGGTTTAAGACATACTTAAGTAGTACTTAGGCAGGTCTTAAGATTGTACCTAAAACATACTTATGACCCTGCTCAAGTCAAAAACTAAGCAAGCTTTGTATGTGGTATAGTAGACACACATCTTAGAGAGAGACTTTTAAGAACACCAGATGTCAATTTAGGGAAATGTGTAGACATGTGTAGGACTGCGGAAATCACAAAACAGGGCATTAGTGTGCTAGACGGAACTAGTGCTCTCACCCCAGCTATTAATAAAATAAGCAAACAGAGTACCCGTAAACCTGACGACAATAAAAAAAAGACTAGTGAGAAACAAAAATATAAACAGTGCAAATTCTGTGGCAGGTATCATGAACTAAAGAAAGAAAAGTGCCCCGCATACGGACAATCTTGCAGAAAGTGTCATAAACTCAACCATTTCGAAAATAAGTGCTCAGCATACGTTAAACATGGGCCCACGAAGACCACGAAGAAGAGAGTTCATGCAGTAGACTTTGGTTAAAGCTCCGACTCAGATGATTACTACCAGTCAAACTCTGTCACTAACTCGGACGAAGACGAATCTGTGAACACTTTGAACTCCAAAACAGCACAGGCAACCATGCTAATCCAAGGACAGAAATTCAGACTTCAGCTTGACACAGGAGCTACCTTTAGCATTCCACCTATAAACCATTTGCGTTACTTCCTTCCTCTGCGCCCAACCAATATACGTATGTATAATGGCATAACCATCAAGCCCCTTGGAAAACTTGCATTATTAGTCACCAACTCCAAAAACCAGATGACTCAGGAAGCTGATTTCGTTATCATCAAAGACAACTGTACACCTCTACTAGGTAACAATACACTTCAGGATATGGAACTACTACAATGGAATAGTGAAAACATTCTAACCATTTCCAACTATTCACCTATCACCAAAGAGCAGTTGCTCACCGAGTACAAGAATGTTTTTGAAGGCATTGGACGTTTGGAAGGAGACTTTAATCTTGTTGTTGACAAGTTCATTCCTCCAGTTGCACACCCTCCACGGAGAGTGCTTCTAGCTCTCAAAGCACAGCTAAAAGATAAACTTGATCGTCTAGAGAATCTGAACATTATTGCTCAAGTGAGTGAACCCACACCATGGGTGTCTAGTTGCCTCATGGTTGTCAAACCAAATAAACTGCGGATATGTATTGACCCAAAAGACTTAAATAAAGCTCTGAAGCGTAGTTATTATCCTCTACCCACTATTGAGGAAGTTCTTCAACAGTTAACCAAAGCAAAAGTTTTCAGTATACTTGATGCCAAGAATGGGTTCTGGCACGTCCAGATGGATCATGAAAGTTCATTGTTGACTACATTCAATACGCCCTTCGGACGCTATCGCTGGCTGAGAATGCCCTTTGGCCTGTCTACAGCCCCTGAAGAATACTAAAGGAGACAAGACCAAGCTGTTGAGGGATTGTCGGGTATACGTAATGTAGCAGATGACATTCTTGTGTATGGCGAGGGGGATACAGAAGAAGAAGCTATTGTTGACCATGATAGAAAGCGATAGAAAGCTACGTGCACTGATGGACCGATGTCGAGAACGTGGACTCGTTCTGAACAAAGACAAACTTCGATTACGACAGAAAGAAGTGCGATTCATTGGACACCTTGTTACATCAGAAGGTCTGAAACCTGACCCAGAAAAGGTGAAAGCAGTTAAAGAGATTCCAAATCCAGAGAATGTCGCAGGTGTAAGGAGATTTCTTGGATTTGTGAACTATCTTAGCAAATTCTTGCCATCCCTAAGTGATTTGTGTGAGCCACTAAGGAAACACGCTCAAAGACGCTGTATGGAGCTGGTATGAGGTCATTGACAAAGCTGTGTCTGACTTAAAGCTGCTAATCATTTCTGAACTGGTGCTTAGTTTCTTTGATCCTAACAAAAGCCTAACTCTTCATTGTGATGCCTCGGAAACTGGACTTGGAGCCACAATCTTACAGGAAGGAAAGCCTGTTGCTTCCTCAAGTCTTGCATTGACTGAAAGAGAGACTCGGTATGCACAGATCGAAAAAGAATTATTGGCAGTGGTATTTGGACTTGAAAAGTTCCACTAATACACATATGGACGTGATGTGACTGTTCAGAGTGACCACAAACCCTTGGAGATTATCCTGAGAAAACCACTTCACATTGCACCTAAACGACTACAGAGAATGCTACTGCGCTTGCAAAAGTACACTATACACTTGGCATATCATCCTGGGAAAGAAATGTTCCTAGCAGACACCTTGAGCAGGGCATACCTAAGAAACAATGAACAGACTGGCACACTTGAAGAGGAAACAAAACATCTGGCACGATTTCTCCCTGTGATCAAAGACAGAATTCAGGAACTGAGACAGGAAACTCAGGCAGACAAAACACTAGTAAAGCTGACCAAAGTTATTCTCTCAGGATGGCCAGAAATCTCTGCGTATGTTTCAGCTCCCCTACAGCCATACTTCAACATTCGTGACGAGTTGACAGTACAAGGCGGCATTGTATTTATAGGAGAGCGCATTCTTATTCCAGAGACAATGAGAATGGACATGTTGCGCCGTATTCACTCATCTCATATTGGAGTTGAAGGAAGTGTCAGGAGAGCTCGTGAATATTTGTTCTGGCTCGGCATGACCAAAGATGTGAAAGACTTTGTGACTAAGTGTGATACCTGTCGTTCTTTTGATGACAAACAGAGGAAAGAGGCCCTCGTAAGTCATGATGTACCCACACGTCCATGGACCAAAGTAGTTAGTGACCTTTTTTTAGCTACAATTCGAAGGAGTACCTCGTGACCGTTATTTCTCTAACTTTTGGGAGGTTGACTATCTCCGCAATACAAAGTCGAAGACTGTAATTCAGAAACTGAAGGCATTGTTTGCACGCTACGGGATCCCAGGTCACCTTGTATCTGACAATGGGTCCCAGTTTGCCTCTACTGAGTTCAGCAGTTTGCCAAGGAATAGGAATTCTGTCGTGTGACTACTCCCCAAAGTACCGCAAACGTAATGTAAAAGCTGAGTAAGCTGTCAAAATGGCCAATAGATTGCTGAAACGAGCCTTGAAATCTCAGTCTGATCCTTCGCAGCTAGGTTAAGGACTCCCATATATACGTCAGCCTATGCAGAGGTTCGGGAAAGCTATCATGACGTCACGTTAAAGCAATACAAATGAATCTTGATGAATAAATACTATATGTTCTCTTTAAATCACATTAAATACCTTCGTTTCTCATAAATGTTATGAAGATAAATGGATTTGAAACTTATCTTGCCATAATAGCACTTAGCGTATGTAGAATGAAAGCCAGCTTTATCGCGCTGCACTTATTGAGATGACGTCATTCTGTACTTGAGTCGGGATCAAGCTATTATCGTAGCTTGTAAAAATAAAAATAAATACGAAACAAGGGTAGTCTTGCCAAAATAGAGATATATTCTGAAATATATTGTTTCACTTGGTGGGTAAATGATGCAATGTGCATATAAAATCCCAGGCACGTTGACAAGAACTACAGCCATAAACGATAATCAAAACTACGATTTAATTAGCCAAAACGAATACATACATAATTGTACAAATACGATCCATGTTAACAAAACGAATAAACATAACATGTTACATCTTTTCTCCTTTGTAAAGTTTCTTTCATTGTACAGTAAGTCCAGAACAAATTTCGAATTGATTACGTTCAGAGAAATCATCAACGTAGCATTGAGTTTGAAAATGCAGAATGAATGAATTACGATTATCAACTTCACATACAGATAAAATACAGTACAATAATGATAGTAATTGAGCTCTTGCTCAAAATTGGTAAGCCAGGGATTATTGTGCCCTATTCACAACTTACCAACATAAATTACATACAAATAATACACTGACGATGTTACTTGACATAGTCCTTGAATCGAATTGGCACTTTCACTTGGCGTCCTGATCTGGTGATTGCCTGTGGTGCCTTAAAAGTAACCTGCTCTTTTGCTGACTCGGTCATCTGTTTCGAATCAGGTGGTTGAATTGGTTTCTCTTGTTTGACACCAGTCTCACTGTATTCCTCAGGGACAATATCATCACTTTCGGACTGTTCCTGATGCTTGCTAGGTCTTAGATGACGTCTGTTCCTGCGGTAATGTTGACCATCAGACTGGACCTCATAAGAGCGATTCGGTAGAACTTTGGTCACCACTCCTTTCTTCCATTCTCTTGACTGTCCGATTCCATCAGGTGGTGCAATGCGCACATGATCTTGAATCTTCAATGGTTTCAGGTCCTTTGCCCCCTGATTGTAGTAATGTGCTTGTCGTTCTTTCAGTCTCACAAGCTTCCGTCCCTGCTCCTTCAGATCTGGAACTTCCGGCACTAGTAATGACTGTTTAGTAGGCAATAAGGTTTTAGTTCTCCTACTCATGAGACGTTGTGCTGGGCTTGTTCCCATGCCTTGTGTAGGTGTATTCCGAAAGTCAAGTAAGGCTAGATAAGGGTCAGAATTAGACTTCACTGCACGCTTCATCAACCTCTTTGCCATTTTCACGGCCTGCTCTGCTCTCCCATTGCTCTGGGGGTATTTTGGAGAACTCGTTATGTGTTTAAATTCCCAAAGGTGAGTGAATTCAGCAAACTCATCTGAGCTAAACTGCGGTCCATTGTCACTGACAAGAGAGTTAGGAGTCCCGTATCTCGCAAAATGTGCTCTGAGTTTCTTGATAACTGTTTTCGATGTCGAACGGGAGAGGTGGTCAACTTCCCAGAAATTCGAAAAGTAGTCTACAGTTACCAGATAATCTTGGCCATCAAATTTAAAAATGTCACAAGCAATCTTCCCCCAAGGTTTATCTGGAACTTCATGTGGCCTCAGTGTCTCTTTACACTGTTTATCATCTAACGATCTGCATATTTCACATCGGCTGATAAAATCTCTAGTCTCCGCATTCATGCCTGGCCAGAATATGTTCTCACGTGCTCGACGTAGACTTCCTTCCACTACTATGTGAGACTTGTGAATCTTGCATAGCATGTCCTGTCTCATGCTGATGGGTATCACAATTCTGTCTCCACGGAAGATAACTGCATCCTGAACGACCAGCTCATCCCGAAAATTGAAATATGGCCGCACTGTGTCCTTGACTTCAGATACCGTCTTGGGCCATCCAGTAAGTATTACATGAATGAGATCCTGTAATGTTCTGTCTCGTCGAGTTTCGTCCCTTATTTCTTGAAGACTATCTCCTAGCGTCGGCTGTAGATGTGTGAAATGAACTATTTCATCTAGGAGTGCACCTGTTCGGTCACTGTTCTGCAAGTATGCTCGACTAAGCGCATCAGCCAAGTGCATTTCCTTGCCAGGGCGGTACTCTAGCTTTGTTGAGTATTTATGCAGTCGAAGCAGCATCCTCTTTAAACGTTTCGGTGCTGTATGAAGTGGCTTCTTCATTATAATCTCTAAAGGTTTATGGTCACTTTGTACTGTTACGTTTCGTCCGTACGTATACTGATGAAACTTTTCTAGTCCAAACACAACAGCAAGAAGTTCTTTTTCTCTTTGGGCATATCTTGTCTCTGTGTCTGTTAGGGCTCTGCTGGCGAATGCTATTGGTTTCCCTAGTTGTAGCAGTGCTGCACCCAATCCTGTCTCGGAAGAATCACATTGTAAGGTAAGTTCCTTGTTTGGGTCATAATAACTAAGAACTGGTTCTGATGTTACTAGTCTTTTGACTTTCTCTACTGCTTGGTCATGAATCTCATGCCAGCTCCACAATGTGTCTTTCACTGTAAGCTTTCTTAGTGGTTCGCAAATGTCACTCAAACTCGGTAAAAATTTGCTCAGATAGTTAACGAATCCCAGGAAGCGTCTCAATCCTGCGACATCTGTAGGATTTGGCATTTCGTTCACAGCTTTGACTTTCTCAGGGTCTGGTTTCAAACCGTCCTTTGTTATGAGATGTCCTACAAATCTTACTTCAGTCTCTCGAAGTCTTAGTTTAACCTTGTTGAGCACAAGTCCTCGTTCACGACATCTCTTCATGAGTGCTTTCAGTTTCTGGTCATGGTCTAAAATGGCATCCTCCCCTGTGTCACCTTCACCATAAACCAGTATGTCGTCAGCAATACTCAAGACACCTGGTAGCCCTTCTACTGCCTGATCTTGACGACGTTGATACTCTTCCGGTGCCGTCGAAATACCAAAAGGCATTCTTATCCATCTGAACCGTCCAAATGGGGTGTTGAATGTAGTGAGCATAGAGCTTTCCTTATCTAGTTCAACATGCCAAAATCCATTCCGTGCATCCAAAACACTGAATACTTTTGCACGAGAAAGGTTTGGAAGTATTTCCTCTATCGTAGGAAGTGGATAATGGCTCCTCTTAAGTGCTTTGTTCAAGTCCTTTGGATCTATGCAGATTCTGACTTTGTTCGGTTTCATGACCATCAAACAGCTGGAGACCCATTGGATTGGTTCACTAACTGGTGTGATAATGTTCATTTCTTGTAGTCTGTCAAGCTCAGCTTTTAATAATGGCTTCAGTGCGATAGGTACTTTTCTCGGTGGATGAACTACAGGCTGTATGTTTTCATCTAGAACTAAGTGATATTTCCCTGCGAGACGACCTACACCTTCAAAGACATCTGGATACTCTGCGAGTAGCTGCTTCTTACTGAGAGGTGATGGCAAGAGCTGTCTCACACTAAGAATGTTCTCCTTTCTCCAGTTCAAGAGCTCCATGTGCTGTAGAGATTTATTTCCTAAGAGTGGCATGCAGTCCTCTTTAATTACAACAAATTCAGTGTCATATGAGGTACCGTTCCTTGGATTGGTAACTTGTAAATGTGTTTTTCCTAGAGGCCTTATGGTAGATTTGTTGTACATCTTCAAGGTATAATCTGTAGGCTGAAGTGGTGGCATGTTTGGAATCACACTACTAGGGGAAATGTTACATGTGGCCCCACTGTCCAGTTGAAATGTCACTTTCTTTCCATGAATGACCATAGACGCATGTACACTGTTGGAAACGGTGTGTGCAGAATGTGTGTTTTCTTCTTGTATGGTCCAAACAGAATAGTCATCATCACTGTCAGTGTTTGAACAACCTGTCCCAATGTGATGTACAGTTTTCTTTTTATATTTTGGTTGTGATTTCTTGGAAGCACTTCTGCATACTGTTTCAAAGTGATTCATTTTATGACACAGTCGACACTTTTTTCCATATGCAGGACATTTTTCTTTCTTGGGCTCATGTATTTTGGCACAATATTTACAAGGTTTGTTATCAGTATATGACTGTTTATTTCCGCTTGTCTTTACACTAGGTTTGCCTTTGCTGATTTTGTTGACAATTTCTGTATGGCTGCTTGATGAATTGTTGCCATCCAATACACTAATTCCTTGTTTCGTGATTTCAGCTGCACGTGTTATGTCGACACACTTATCCAGGGTAAGTTCTGGTGTTCTCAACAAACGTTCTCTCAGGTGTGAGTCAAGTATCCCACAAACTATTCTGTCTCTGACTAATGAGTCAACTATTTCTCCATAGTTACACTTTGCAGCTAATGTTTTTAGATCAGTGATAAATGTTTCTATAGTCTCACCTGGTTCCTGTTTCCTCATATTGAACCTGAATCTCTCTACCGTTTCGTTTCTTTTGGGTCTACAGTAAGCGTCAAAAGCGTCGAGGACGTCTTTCAATTTTCTGTCCTTCTCTTCTTTATCAAACTTTATCGTGCTGTAAATCTCTCTGCCATCCGCGCCAATCAAATACTTCAGTAACTGTATCTTAGCTTTGTCTTCTTCATCTTTCATCGATAGATATACATAAAGTTCAAATTCTTCTCTCCATTTCTCCAGTCTTCACTAATATTCTTAGTGTTGAACTTTATTTTGCCAGGGGGTGTCAGTCTTTCGAGCGCCATTTCCCGACTGGGCTGCCGTAATCACGATGCAGCGCGCCAAATCGAAGAAATCAAAATATGCACACTAATACTCAAATTATGGCGAGAAAACAGTTTTGCGTAATCCTGTTATCCTCTTCTACAATCCCGCATCTGACACCATGTTTCACTTGGTGGGTAAATGATGCAATGTGCATATAAAATCCCAGGCACGTTGACAAGAACTACAGCCATAAACGATAATCAAAACTACGATTTAATTAGCCAAAACGAATACATACATAATTGTACAAATACGATCCATGTTAACAAAACGAATAAACATAACATGTTACATATATTAATCCACATTTTATTGTCAAACGAAATTGATAATGTTTAGACTTCATATATAGCCGTAGGGAGCACATTTGTATGGTAACGTGCTAGAATGACAGGTCCAGCCTCTCGAAAATATCAAAAGTTCAACGATATCTGCTTCACTGTAAATTCTGAATTTTTAAACACGTGTAGCTATTATTCCTACTATTCTGAAAAGTGCTGGGAGCTGGTTCTGCATTGTTTATTTATTCCGTAATGTAATATTATTCCAATGCGTATTACGTCTATGTATGGGGTTAATAGAAAGACGACTAAATTTTACACAATTCCCGAGCATGAGGAAGTTGCTCCCAGCACTTTTCATGTTAAGGATTTTGTCTCAAAGAAAACAAAATAAATTTTATAGCGGAAAGATACCCGTATATCGTTGAACTTTTACGATCTTTGTAGTAGTACCTATATGTTCTAATTTTAAAGCTGTCACGTGAAAAACAGCTGATGTAAGCGATGTCGCTTTGCCCGAACTCAGCAGAGACCCAATATATACAAGTGCAAACACCACAATTCACATTTATTAAAACTAATGTTGTTGATAAAAGATTAACATTGAATTCATTTTCATTGAATATACAAAGGCGTTTATTTCAGGGGCGTCCTTAACCTAGCTGCGTTATCTATCTCTGCTAGATTTTCGTAACACACCTACTCAGGGAATGGATACCAGCCCAGCTCAGCGTTTGTTGAGTCGACGCACCAAGACACTCTTGCCCACAAAGGAGACGCTCCTAGTTCCGGAAGTTTATCCACTGAAATCGCAGGAGAAGCAATTAACCCATCTAAAGCGACGAAAAGCTTTGTACTATAATCGTGGAGCTAGAGATCTTCGACCACTGGATATCGGAGAAAAGGTGTGTATGGCACCACTTGAAACATTAGGACAGCCTGACAACGAATGGAAAAGAAGGAACTGTAAAGCATTCATTAGGAAACAGATCCTATAAAACTTGAGTCTAATGGACAGACATGCCGTAGAAATCGTCAACATGCTGACACTGACGCTCACATATATGAGGACATTGATGAAAAACCAGTCCAATCACAACAAACTATTAAGGACACAATAATTGGACAAACTTCTGTGAATCCACCCTCAAAACCAACCAGTGATTCTGCACCTCCACTTATCACACGATCAGGTCCAGTCTCGATTCAAGGACTGTGTGAATTAGACGTCAGTTTAGACTCGTTTTGCTAGTCATGAGTAAGCCGTGTTAAAAGGGCACAATAATCCCTTGACTTACTCAACCTTGAGCAAGAGCTCAATATTATTTTTCTAGTGATATTAGTCGCCCGCGTGGCGCAGTGGTTACAACGTCTGCTCTAGAGTCGCGAAGTAAGGAGTTGATCCTTACGTCGCGGGTTTGAATCCCACTGTGGGACGTGGAGACCGGTCGTTCGGATGGGACCGTATAAACCGAGGTCCCGTGTCGCAGTGGGTGCTGGCACGAAAAGGATCCCTCACTGCTCAATGGCCGTAAGTGCCGAGTATAGGACAAAATTTGCATGCTCTTACGTATCGAATCAACTGAGAGATATATACCCCGTATGCAGGTGATGAAGGTATATTGCTGCATCAGTAAGGGAAGTTGACGATTGAAAAGTTAAAGTCATCACGTTTATCATAAAGCTTGGTTGTTAGATTACCATTAACGTCTTTTTCAAGTAAAATATCCAAATATGAAACAGATATGTCAGACTCTGTTGTATCACCTAATACATTCAGGAATTGAACAAAATTTGCACAGGTCATGCAAAAATTCTATGTTTGTCAATTTACCGCTTGTGCGTTATGATATCGCCTTAAACTCTCTGGACACACAGGATGATGTATGATCCTGAAACCAGCCATAATTAGAAGACATTTATCTTACGAACTTGGGAGTTTGACTTTCTTTTGAAAAACCTTAACCTTGACCATAACGTTTGAACGATCGGTGCTACGGCTTTCATATTTCACATGTGTATTTCTTGTGAGAAGGCTTTTCCTTGGGCACCATTGATTTTGACTATTTGACCTTGACCTTAATGTTTTGCTTGCTTTTGAAAAACTTTAACTTTTCCATTTCATCTATTGAATGGTTGCTGCAGACCTGTTTACTCTTACGATTTCGCCTTATTTTGTACGGATTTATAGTCCAAAATACGTCTCACGTTTTGCTTTGATGAAAAAACGGAAATGAGAAATCCGTTCGATTGGATTTTAACAGTTAGTTTTCGTAATGATCTGTCTCAGTTTAACGCTTTTTAATCACAAAAAAGAGAAAGATTTCAAATTTTTCAGTGATGTCGGGTTGCCAAAACGCGGTGGTTAAAAAAGTGACAAAACCCCTCGAAAGACAGCAAGGTATGATGCTTTTTAGCTCACCTGAGCTGAAAGCTCAAGTAAGCTTTTCTGATTACCCGTTGGCCGTAGTCCGTCCGTCTGTAAACTTTTCACATTATCAACTTCTCAAGAACCACTTAGTCAATTTAAACCAATCTTGGTACAAAGTATCCTTTGGTTAAAGAGAGTTTAAATTGTTAAAATCAAGGGCCAAGTCTTACAAGGGAGATAATCAAGAAAGGACAAAAATAGGGTGGGATCATTAAAAAACCTTCTCAAGAACCACTGGGCCAAAAAAGCAGAAACTTATGTGGAAGCATCTTGGGGTTGTAAAGATTCTAAATTATTCAAATCATGACCCCCTGGGGTAGGGCGGGGCCACAATAGGGAAATTCAAATTTAACACTGAAATAAATATAAATCTTCTTAAGAACAACTGGCCTAGAAAAACTGAAACTTATGTGGAAGCATCCTCAAGTAATGTAGCTTCTAAATTGTTCAAATCGTGACCCCCTGGGGTAGGGCGGGGCCACAGTAGGGAAATCCAAATTTAACATTGAAATAAATAAAAATTTTCTCAAGAACAACTGGCCTAGAAAAACTGAAACTTATGTGGAAGCATCCTCAAGTAGTGTAGATTCTAAATTGTTCAAATCATGACCCCCGGGGGTATGGCGGAGCCACAATAGGTAATCCAAGCTTTACTCTGAAATATATGGAAAAAATCTTTTAAAATCTTCTTCTCAAGAACCACTGGGCCAAGAAGCTGAAAATTATGTAGGAACATCCTCAAGTAGTGTAGATACTAAATTGTTCAAATCATGACCCCGGGGGTATGGCGGGGCCACAATAGGGAATCCACGTTTTACATTGAAATATGTAGGAAAAATCCTCTTCTCAAGAACCACTGGTCCAGAAAAGCTGACACCTATGTGGAAGCATCCTTGGGTAATGTAGATTCTAAATTGTTCAAATCACGACCCCCGGGGTAGGGCGGGGCCACAAAAGGTATTACAAGGGGGGGATCTGGTGAAGAACAGCATGGCCAAAGTTACTCAGGTGAGCGATGTGGTCATGATCCTCTTGTCTTTGTTGTTAACCCATGTTTGGGTTATCAGAAATGTAGTTGATCTTTAGTTATATATGTAAAATCGATGGAAAGTGAAATCGTACAGGCAAATTCCAAATCTCACTGACAAATCTAATAAAAAATACTGAGAGACAACGATATGGGTAAACAGGTCTGTTGCTGCTAGGGCTTTCATATTTCGCTGGTGTATTCCTCGAGATAAGACCTTACTTTGGGTACCAGCATATTAGATATGCATTTGAGAAAGTCTAACCTTTGCTAAAAGTTGCCATACGGGAGCATCAGTGTTTCACAAACACATCTTGTTATCATTAAAAAGGTCTTAAAATACAAAATTATACCTGATATTTTATTTTGTGTTGTGTTGTAAGGGAAAAAAGACGAAAACCACTTGCTAAGCAAAACTTGACAGCATTCAGTAATATCGACCTTTTTAGTGCACCCTTCGTTCTGACTTTACCTTAGTTCGTAGCTGATCTAAATCCAGTTCATCAGCATGAAAAAATGTGAACTCCAAATATCGGCTACTCTTCGCCATGATCACTATGTAATCAAAAAGGAAAATAACTCGTGAAATATGTAGAGCAATGTCCAAGAAGATGCAACACACAGATTAATATACATTGGATGCAACTAACAGGACTTAAAGGTCATAGGAAACGATTCTTAACACTAGGTTTTCACTTTTTTAACCTAAAGCTATATTTGAAAGAATGTTAAATTACGAGTAGTATCATTTTTTGGCCTTTGTCCACTGAAAAATAAAGGTGAAAACTTTTCCACTTGTTACTTTTCTTACCCGCTTATCGTTCTTGATTTTGTGGTTTTATGACGTCACAAGAGCCCACTGATGTAAACAGAGCATTACACTAATGTATTTCTACCATATTTTATCTAGTTAATTTAAGCTATTTTTGTAAATATAAATGTGTCTATGTTTTCAGGTGAGTTATCTGATTTCGTAGTTCGGTCAATTCAGTTTGAGCGAGTCGTTAATAAGGCACGGCAACTCAAAACTGGAGCTTTTTATCGGAGGATGATCCTGATGAATATCCTATATAAAATTACGCTTAAATTAAGCTACAACTTCGATTACTTGCTCTACATCAAACCTTTAGAAACAAAAAAAATATTTCCCTGTTTAATACACATATACGACATACCAAGAGGATTTCATCGTCATTAAAAAAAGCTATTAACTCTTTTTTTATTCCAAGAAAAATCGCATAATGCAACATAGAATAGAACAATTTATTAAAAGTAACCTTTTCTACTTAGAATAAAAAAATTGATTAAGCCTATAATATTCTATTAAAGAAAGATATTTGACACGTATGTGGGGATTATCCCTAACGTGATTCCCCAAAATAAACACGGGGGCCAGTGGTATTGAATTCCATGATAAGCGCGAACCACTGAAAATGTCAGCGTCTTTGAAGTTTCGTTTTCACCGATCCGAAACACACATATTGCTGTAAAAACGATATAGCAATAGATTCCCTGGGTTTATGACATGACCGTATTCTATAATATATATATATATATATATATATATATATATATATATATATATATATATATATATATATATATATATATATATATATATATATAAAGAAGAAATGTTGAGCCCAGAGCAAATGAGATTGTTACGATGCCGATACTTTGTGCAGTCACGGTTTGGCTCGACAATATCGATTTTTGAAATACTCGGTATATAGTAGTAAACAGTACAGTCCGTGATCAGTTTGCAAATCCATCCATCATTTGCGAGACTACAATTTTAATATTAATGTTCTTTTTAACAGGTAATAAAACTTTTGAAATTATATCCTTTACAGAAAAAAAACGTAAATATAATACACACTGGAAAAATAAATAGGTTTGTATACGATGATACTAGTAAGTACTGATCTTTGATAAATATCTTATCAAATTGACGGGAAAGATACCTATCTTTTTTTTTATTTTATGTATTAAATTTTACGAAATTAAAAAAAATATGTCGATTTCTAATTTATTCAATATCTACATTTGGTCAGTAGAATCCCTATTCTTCATAGAAATATTTCCACATGTTAGAGCTGCCCTTTTTTTTTAATACATAGGTCTACATGTTTAAACGTCGCATACATCTGCAGTGTGTTTAAAAATGACACGATCGGGTATATATTGGTGGTGATGTTGTACATGAGTAACTAAGTGAGTATAAAGACAGTGTCAAATAACAAATTAAATTGTATAAAACAGTAACGCAAGAAATTTTTTTCTTGTTTTTTTTTTTTTTAAATCCATGTGATACTACACAGCAGGTACGTATCGTTTGTCTAGAAAAGTTTCATACTGACAGTGTTGGACTCTGTGTAAAAGTAAAACTAGGTTGTAAATAAATGATTTAATTAAAACAGCTGCCCTGGTTATGAAAAATGAATTTATTCTCACTCTCGCTCTCCCTTCTTTCTATCTTCCGATCGCTTTATTTTTCTCTCAATAGATCGAAGTGTCAAACGATGAAAATGATCACATTTTGACTGATAAAACATGCAAACATCTTGCAAATATGCAATGGAATTTAAAAAAAAAATACTAGCCTGTTTGAAGATCGTATATTTATACAAAGTTTTAGCCATGATTATGATATTCATTAAAATTGAGCTGCAAAATGACATGATAGTTTGTAAACATTGCATAGCTTTGAACAGCGACTGGGCCTTACTGACGTCATATGCCAAGGGAGATAAGCACTTTCGTCAAAGTGAATTTTCACGACTGAGTAATTTTAATCGACTGTGCTGTAGCTATCTTGCGTAAAAAATCCAAAAACAACTTCAGTCTTATTTTACCAGCTCAGATGAACTTCTTCCCGTATGTAACTCAATATTTTCAGGTAATTGTCTCCTATGACCTTTAATTATTATATGTTGTATATATCATGTTTGGCACCTAACAAGACACAATTTAGTATTATGACACATCTGCATCGGCAGGCGTCACAAGCATCATAAAATGGTTAAATAAAGTAATAATGTATCCCACAAATAAGCGTCTTAGAAATTACAAAGCGCTAGCATTTTGAGACAAACCATTAATAGATATTTATAAGTGAAAACATTCTTAGATCCCATACCTCAAGACACGTGTTACGAATTATTCAACCTACGTGCGCGCATCTAGGGAGAGAAGTGATTGGGGAGGGGGGGGGGGTTTGAAGTTGAACAATTCTATGTAAAAGTAACAAAGACAAAGATTATACCCCCAACCTGAGAAACAGACCCCTTTTGAAGTTGATTTCGGTAATGTAGACCCCCCCCCCCTAAAATAAGAAAATAAATAAATTCAAGTGTAATTTCTTTTATGAGTGTTACGTTGAATGCAGTTGTTTATAATACAAGTAAAAACTCATTAGAAAATAAATGAATACTTGCAATCTTAATCCAATAACCGTATACTTCCTATATGTAGAAAGAATCATGTACAAATCTGTAGAGAGATTACATTATATTACATGTATCATGTAATGTATATGATATGTAAATAATAAAATTATAATATGTGTATAATATAATTACTGTACAGAATTTCATTGTTGCACATACTCAAGTTGCCCTTGGTATTCTGTAAGCAAGCAATGGACAAATCTGGCACAAAAATGGGGCCTATTCAAGCTTTGAGTTTTAATGTAGAATGTTATAAACGAAACTCTTATTTTGTTCAATTAAATATGCAATATTTTCAACGGTCTGTATTCATGGCATCATTTAATACTGCAACTAGATAGTTGTCCCTCTGTATTGGCTTAAGGAGACTCCTGAGTTTGAGTCTCCTATGCTATTTGTATACTTTATTCCAACTATTTTTTGTCTTCTGTGACCATTTAAATTAAAACTGTAAAGGCTACTTTTCCTAAATCTACAGTTCTCCGATGCGCCGGAACGTTTTCAAACGTCGCGGGATCGCCATTTTCCGTCTGTTAACAGTATTACTGCTATTTCAGATGCCTGGGAAACTGCCTAAATTGGGCAAGTGCATTGAAATTCCGATTTGACCCCACAAGTTAAATTTCTAATTTCTTCTTCATCTAGCTTGGGGAAATTCAAAGAATCAGATGAAACTTCCCAGTTGGATGACCTCTTGTCAAGTGCATTTTCTTCCACAAATATCTTTAGACTGTTTACTCTCTTTGACAGTATTGCATCTTGGTTGCAAGAGCTTCATCATCAGCTGCATTTCCTGTAGAAAGGGTGGTAAATACTTATTGGAAATTGCACACACAATTCGCACATAGTCCCCAATGAAGGGACCTGGTTTGTTGGGAGGGTATGTGCAAGATATTTCCAACGTTTAATCCTGGAATTGGCAGCCTCAACAACCCAACGAATCTATAAATAAATATTGAAAAAGTAAAGCAATAAGTAAATTATGTAAATAAAAATCTTTAATCTTAAACGTGTATCAAAAACGTGTATAAAAAAAAAAGCCAATGACTTTATTGCAGCATATCCCTATGCTCAGTATTTGAACATCAGATTAAAAGAAACAAAATTAGAATTTTCTTTAATTAAATCTTCACTGCATATTCTGAAATTGGTAACTCATATCTTTACATGTACTTACCTTTGTAACCAAACGACTGGCATTTGCATCAGGTTTCGGCATTTGTCTTTCCCCTTTGGCAAGAAGATGAGGCATGTAGGCTTTAATCCCAAACTCCTCCAGAACTCCAAGAGCATCACGGAATCCCCTGTCAACTATGAATATATCTTCGTCCTGAAACCAGTTCTTGATGTCTTCTATATTAGATTTCAACATATGATTCAGGATGGCTGCATCATTGTTTCGACTGTCAGCAAGATAGGGACCAACTACTGTCAGGAAATATCCATCCGTTGAGACAACAACCATAGGCTTCACCAAGGGTCTGCCTTTATGGATGTTGTATGTCAGTGGTCTGGTGTGGTTTGCTATCACTTCTTGGCGAGATATATGCTGTAATCCTACGTTTTGTGGAACAAACGTTTTCATTAGTGCAGTTCTGACAGTTGAAATAGCTCTTCGTATTGAAGACTATGAAATGCCAAATATGGTTGACATCAACTGGTTTGGAATTCCAGATCGCATTTTCAGTAGAAAAATTCCTAGAGACATTGTTGATGTTCTACTGGGTGTATTTTTAATGTCTGATTCTATCTCCTTATGCAGATCTGCAAAATGGTCTTTTGATATTCCAGTAAGAGTGATGAAATCCAGGTTGTTAAGGTATGACGGATCAAAGGTGAATTTGGATGAGCAATTTTGAATTGCATAATTCCTTATCCTTGTGATTAGGTCTACGATGGTACTTCTGTTCAAAAATGATGTATCTATTGTCTGTATGTTATCCAGTGCTCCTGTGATGAAATCATCATTTGCAATGTGTGAAGGACAACACCTGCTGCCCAATGGGATAATCACTTCCTTGTGAATGAATGCAGAGAGTCTTGCTGATACTGGCACAACGATGAGCTTCGGCCCAGGTCGCTTGCAAATGAAGCAGTAGGCATGGGAGGAAACAGTCCTTTGAAGAGGCAGGGTAACAGATGGTGGACTTGGACATGATGAGTTTCCTGGAAGTTCAGTGTCAGGTTTGTCACTGACACTAGGTGGTTTTTGTTTTACTTGTTTGTTTCTGTAGTAGTGGTGTCTGCATTTATTGCATAACACATCCACTTGTCTAGCATCCACCATGAAAGTTTTCCTCAGAAATCTTCTTATTTCAATGCTTTCACATTTCCTTCTGTCATTTGGCTTGGTTCTTTTCTTACATAAAACACATTGGAATCTATTTCTGCCATCAACTAGCTCCATTCTATAAAAACACAAAGCAAAACATTTAAGTGGTGATTAATGAGATGTTTACTTTTTCCAATTATTCATAGATACATATTTATTTTATATAGACTTTTATTTCTTTTCAATTTCATTTGACTTAAACATTTTGTAAGTAATGAGACCAGAAAATTAACTTAGAATAAAGTGAGTTTATCTACACGTCTTTTAATCATTCAATACATCGATATGGAATTGATTATTATTTTACGCTATTTTTTGTTTTTATATTAACGACGACGGACCTAATTCATTTCTGCAATAGATTTTTTATTCAAATTTTAATATGAGGTAAAGTGACTTTTGGTGAGTTAAAATCAATAAAAAAAAAGCATATGGTCATCGATGTAGATTTTAATGGGGAGCGTCTCAAAAGTTGGCGATAGAAGTCGATAATTACTATAGGAAGTAATGGGAAATTGCCAGTGTAGGGTATTAGAGTGATCATTGAAAAAAATTCTGCAATAGAATTTTTATTCATATTTAAGGACAATGTTAACTAGACAATTTACCAGCAAATTACGCCAAAAAATAAATGGGTCATCGGCTTAGATTTTTCAGAGGGGCATGTCAAACGCAGGTGTAGGGCACATTTTGGGTGCAATTTTCATTGAAAATACCTTGGCCAAATAAATCATTTATTTATAAAATTAACAAATGAATATAAATCGAAATATTTACAATATTAAAACATTTGAATATCTTTAATAGAATTAAAAATGTGTATTTTTTTATCTTTTGCAATGCATAATTAAGTCAATTTGATTCAAGGCATATGCGCGGTTTTCTGCGCAGTGGCTCAAAATTTTGAATTAGGTCCGTCGTTCTTAAATTAGTAAGTAATTAATTTCTTTAAATATTATTTTTTATTTAGTTTTCTTTTGTCAATGATTGAAAGAGCATTAATAAATATTTCATGACGAAAAATATTTATAATTATAACGATGAGAATTATTGATATTATATGGGGTGTTTGTTCAAATGTTAGGGTGTAATGTTCTTTCATTTTTTATTTTTTTATTTATTTTTTTTTTTTTTTTTTTTTTTTGTCTTCAAGTTCCCTATTGCTCTGTTTATTCCTGCATTTATTTCCCCCATTTAAGATACAAAGATTTATTTATCATTTTTCTATTAACAAGCATTATTTTTTTATTTTTTCGAATTTATAAATCTTTTATTCACATCCATTCTTTTATTGTGTCCCCCTTTGGTTTAAAATTTGGTGAACCGGAATATCTATGGATCGAAATCTCTAGTTACCGGTTGACCTAGTGTCGGTTGACAAGGAAACGTAAACTGATCTTGATACTGTCATGTAGCTTACTAAACGTTGTACAATCCATCTGATAAAAATAAGAGGCTCAGACTCGATAAATTAATTTAATTCATCATCAGTGATTAGCGAAGCTTAGGTCAAGATATATCTGTATTTACATCTTATCTGGGGGGGGGGGGGGGGTTCCATTCGAGGTGCCCCCTCCTCCAACAGACATTTATGTATTGAGATGAACTTACGTTAAAAAAAAAAGTAAAGGAAAGTATTGGGGCTAGATATTCACTCAAGATACTTTTTTAAATTATTAGCTTTAACTGTATATCAGGATCAATCATAAGAAATTGTGTTTGAAACAAAGGGAAGTCACATATCGGTGTATTGTTGGTAAACACTAGCCTATATTGTATACGTGGATCCAGTAACTTGAGTGGGGTATTTGTTTATGTTGTTTCAATCGATGAAGAAAACTGCTTACCTTGTCTGTATTTATTCTTCTTCAGTCTGTCATATCTTCATCTTCATTTTTGCAAGAGTTTAATATTTGGAATCATGTATAAAAATCTAGGCCTATAATGTTCGTATCTATCATATAGGCCTACAGTACATGTTCAGCATACGACCGATTTTTTTTTTTTTTTTTTTTTTTTTTTTATTTTTATTCTAACTTTTTTCAAACAGGCTTTATGAATGGATAATGATACCCTGTAGTCGTTTTAAAATATTTTTTTTCTATTTAATTCGGCGTTTCGATGACATATACCAAAAATCAATGCATGGAATGAAAAATTCCGGTTATTTGCAGAAGAAGTAAGTTAACAATGCACATAACCCCCAAGCCTCGATCCAAAAAATATCTTAATCTTTCCATTCTATTTTTATTATTAATTTTTATTCTTTCAATTATTTTTAGATCGAGGCTTGGGGGGATATAAAAATTTGTGTCCAAGTAGGTGACAGGTAGCAGAATTTGCCAAAAAATGGTGACCGATACGGGTTTGGCTTGTTATAATATCTATCTGCATGCGTTTTCGCGGAAAATGTGCAATGATTTTTTAAGAAAGAAGGTCCAAGCTTTTTCATACTATGATAAATTTTCCGATTTGGGAGACTTTATTTTACATCACAGGGCCGATTTTGGCACTTCGTGGCTTTAGCTCTTTAAAACTGAAAGTTGGTTTCAGAAAACTGATTAAATAACGAGCACTATAGAGAACCGTGTAAGAGCAGACGCAATTCGAACGGAAACGTTAAGCAAGTATTTAAATGCGCTTAAGTGGAAAGCTGTAAATGTGACAGTGAACCGGGTTTTCCTGTGAACAGACCCGCATGGTAATTCTCTTGAAAACTATAAACCTGTTTTACATTTTTATACAGCGATCTTAAACTTGCAGGAATTACCTTTGGTCAAGGTCATGAAAAACCAAAAGGACATTAGCAATCTTTGTACCAGGTATGAACTTCCAGTGATTCTCCATTACAAGATTTTAGCCAAGACAAGTTTTATACTTTTTCTGCCAGTGACTTGCGGGAATGACCTTTGGTTAAGAACATGACTTACACGTGCCCTTGTGTCAAAAGCAATCTATGTGCCAAGTTTCAGCTTCTAGTGATTCTTAATTACAAAGTTATAGCCAAGATATGAACGTTATACTTTTTCTGTCAATGACCTTGAACTTGCTTGAATGAGCTTGGGTCAATGTTAAAACACACCCTTCATCATAAGCAATCTTTGTATTCAGTATCATGACCAATCGAGGAGATACAAGCAATCTCTGTACAAAGTATGGCCTCTCAGTGTTTCTGGATAACAAAGTTATAGCCAGAAGACGTTTGCAGGGACAGATGGACAGGAAGACAAGATGATTCCGATTTGATATTGATGACTTACAGATCAAGATCGGGTTTCTTGATAATTGATAAATTTTGACGAAATATATTGAGCTTGCACTTTGAAAACTTCTAATATTTCACTTTTTGGATGTGCTTTTAGGTAATATTATGTTGGTTTGTCTCCAGATTGATTAGCAGCGAATCAGATAGGAGTTTTTGTGTTTTTACGAATAACTTTGAAAATCTTTGATCATCCCATTTTGGACTGAAAGCTCAAGTGAGCTTTTTCTGAACACTTGCTGTCCATCCGTTCGTCTGTCTAAACTTTTCACATTTTAAACTTCTGATGAAGAACGACTAGACCACTTTTAACAAAAGTTGGTACAAAGCATCCTTAGCTGAGGAGGGGGATTAAATTGTTAAAATGAAGGGCCAAGGCCCTTTACAAGGGGAGATAATCAAGAAAAGACAAAAATAGGGTGGGGTCATTTGAAAAATTTCTTTTCAAGAAGCAGTGGGTTCTTTAGATGAAACGTATGTGGAAGTATCCTTGGGTAGTGTAGATTTTAAATTGTTGAAATCATGACCCCCACGGGTAGGGCGAGTTACAGTGCTGCTATCCCACAAGTTGACATGGGATGGGTTTGGATAGGATTGAGGATTCACGATAGAAACATATAGTAGTTAATCCAATCCTATCCTATCCTGTATCCTACAGCCAATCAGATTCGAGTAAAGGTTGATTCATATTTCAGAATTAATAACAAAAACGGAATATGTTTTAAAACGTGTACAAAAGAAATCTTTATAAAATTACGATAGAAAATAAACATATTTTGTTTATTTTAACACAAATTAATAATTAACTTCGAATGACATTGCGTACGATTTAACCGTGAACGATCACCGGAAGAATCTTCGGAATCCGGGATGTTTCGCGCCGATTCTATTTCGCACTGAGATGG